AGTTGACCTAATAATTAGATCTAAGTCATTAAGGGAGTAATCACAATTAAAATCAACTGACTGTTTCCGCACCCCGCGTAACTCTTGTTTCACATTAAACACATTGGTAGAGAATTCAGAGTTGTGAGCATATGTGCTCTGATACCATACATTATAAGAAAAAAAAAGGGCTTCTACGAGGGGCCAAAAACGCCGTGGAAACCTATTCACGGCGCATTCTAGGTCCTCGTGTTACTCAATTTTTTTTTACGGGAAAAAATCTATCTCGTAAAAAAATAATAGATGGGCCGTAGAAAATAATTTCATTTATATATTAAATTTATTTACGGCATGGATATTTTCCCGTTAATAATTAACTTACGAGGCACTGGAGCATGCCGTAGAAAAGTTTTCTACGACGAATTATAATTACCCGCAAATAATCTCGACTTTTTTACGGCGAATTGTAACTACCCATAAATAATACCGAGAAAAGGTTCCTACGACGAGTTATAACTACCCGTAAATAATATCACGAGCTACAGAAGCATGCTGTAGAAAAGTTTTCTACGGCGAATTATAATTATCCGTAAATAATCTTGACTTTTCTACGGCGAATTATAACTACCCGTAAATAATCTCACGAGGTACCGAGAAAAGGTTTCTACGGCGAGTTATAACTACCTGTAAATAATCCCACGAGCTACAGAAGCATGCTGTAGAAAAGTTTTCTAAGGCGAATTTTAACTATCCATAAATAATCTCACGAGGCATTAGAGCATGCCGTTGTAAAATTTTTCTACGGCGAATTTAGGTATCCGTAAATAATATAAACCATTCTCACGACTTGCCATGTATGCCGTAGAAAAGTTATTTAGAAGGATTTTCACTTATTTACGAGATTTCAAGCTCCCCGTAAATAAAAATATATATATATATATTTAATAAATAAAACACCCTTAATTAATGCCAATTAATCATCCACTACCTATAATTCACATCACTTTCAGCTATAATTCTATTCAAAAAACATACATATCTCATTAAATATATCAAAAGAGTTAAAACATTTTTACAATTCATCATTTATCAATGTACCAACACAATTCAACATTTATCAATGTTCCAAAACAAGAAGTAAATCCATTTGTCAAGAAAATCATCAATTTCTGAACACTTCTGTTGAAAAATTGATAAACCTTCTAACACTTGAGTTTCAGTCTGCACTTGTCAAAAAACCACCTCACTGTACAAAATCCAAGGAAGTAGCTGCAAAATTCACGGTACAAAATCCAAGAAAGTAGCTGCATCACACAAGTCTCAAATTCAGGAGTGGTCCATGTGAACATGTCGAGTGATATCTAAAGCTAGTGTTTAAATTAGGCTAAAACACCAAAAGTGAAGCGAAATATATATCATCCCTGGTAGACACCCTCCTCTCACACTGCAAAAGAATTGTCTAGAACTGTCTAATAATTTCTAAATTATGTTCATAATTATAATCTAGTGCAATCTTATGCAATCTAATCTACATTATAAAAGTAATACTTCTTCTTTTTGACATAAAGTGCAAAATGTGATGCATTTTTGTAAACACTAGATTATAAAGTAAGAATATATATGCACTTCTTTTACTTTTATAATGTAGATTAGATGGAAAGTATGCAAGTTATTTATTAATATCATAGTTTGAATCTAGTGTCATATTACATCATTTGAAATCAAAATTAATAAAATTAATATATATCTTAATCTAGTGGATAGTGACAAAATGTCCTCAAATGGACCAAGTTATTAGGCTATGTGAATTCGGTGGTTTTGACTGCCATTATGTCACTAAGAAGATAATATCATGATTTATGGAAAGTATGCAAGTTGATAACTAGTTTCCATAAAGGAAATTGACATGAATACTGATGGTATAACTTCCTTTAGTAAATATTTGCATTTATTTATAAATTACCTTTAGTATTATTCTTGTTAAAACATCATCTCTTGGGTCTGCTAACTTATGATAGAAGTTATAAGGAAGTTGAAAATATTCATTTAAAAATTTCCCAAACACGATTAGTCTATCCCCGGGACTACATTTAAATGGGAAATGATGTGATTATGGCATATTACGAATTGTGCAATCTACACATGTACAAATGATTTACTCCTTCAATTTGGTATATATATACATCCCATATAGCGTTATTTGTCCTTGGTAGTGAAATATTTTTTTGGTTTGTTGTAAAAGGCCGTCCTCTCATGCATATTATTCTGGGTCCATTGTTGTCATGCAGAGGCTTAAAATGACAGCAGATCATGCTAACGAGTGTTTATTTCCTTTCATATGAACGTGAAAAAGCAACATCTAACACGAGTGCAGGAGGAACAAGGGACAGACAGTTTTGCCCATCTTCTACCATGTCAAAGCATCTGAAGTTCGGCACCAGAAGAGGAGTTTTAAGGAAGCATTTACAGAGCATGCAAATATTCATGAGAAGGAGATGGAAAGGGTGCAGAGATGGAGGGCTGCTTTGAAGGAAAAGAAATATCGCTGGTGGCCACTCCCCTCTTCTTCGTTGCTGCTCCCCTCTGATTTGTCTCTCCCCTCTTCTTCTGTGTTTGTTCTGTGTTTGAGGTTAGCGAAATGTGAATTAGGTTTTTCTATTTATTTATATATATTTTTTTAAGCGTAATTTTAATGGTGTACAATTTGGAGGGAGGGTAAAAAAATTTGGTGGGAAGTCTTACTGATTCACGGGACAAAAAATATCCCTTAAATGTTATTAAATATCCACGAAGATTTTAAAAGGCAGTTAAAAAATAATAATAATAAAATAAAGTGAAATTTTAATTGTGCCCAATTTGGCGGGACGGTAAAAAAACAAGGGGTGGGAAGTCTTTTTACTTATTCACGGGACAAAAAATATGCCTTAAATGTTATTAAATATCCACAAGGATTTTAAAATGTCGTTAAAAAAAATAAATAAATAAAGGGAAGTCTTTTTACTTATTTACGGGACAAAAAATATCCCTTAAATGTTATTAAATATCCACGAGGATTTTAAAAGGCCGTTAAAAAAATAATAAAAAATTAAATAAAATAGAGTGAAATTTTAATTGGGTTAGGTAAAAATTTACTTATTCACGGGACAAAAAATATCCCTTAAATGTTATTAAATATCCACGAGGACTCTAAAACGCCGTAAATGTAATTTTTATTGTGCCCTGTTTGGCGGGAGGTTAAAAAAAAGTTGGGGAAACTCTTTTTACTTATTCACGGGACAAAAAAAGTCCCTTAAATGTCAAATTTTAAAATAGAGTGCAATTTTAATTGGGCTACGTAAAAATTTACTTATTCATGGGACAAAAAATATCCCTTAAATGTTACTAAATATCCACGAGGACTCTAAAACACCGTAAAAGTAATTTTTATTGTGCCCCGTTAGGCGGGAGGTTAAAAAAAAGTTGGGAAAACTCTTTTTACTTATTCACGGGACAAAAAATGTCCCTTAAATGTCAAATTTTAACACTTTATTAACAAAGGTTATTTCTCCTGTTAAAGTTGAACAAGAATGCCCTTAATATATTTAAATATCCACGAGGGCTTTAAAAAGCCGTAAAAAACATTTTCAACGAGGATCTTGCTAAATCCCCGTGAAAACATGTCCCTTTATACACCAACCACGAGGATCCTCTCATAATCCCCGTCAAAAATAGTTTCCACGAAGCAAAATAAAGAAACTCCGTAAATAAGATGTCGTAAAAACCCACTTTTCTTGTAGTGATAATAAACAATAGTAACACAGAAGTAATGAAAAAAATCTGATGTATATTCAATGTGTTACAAGAGAGAATATATAGATGACTTTACAACATAGTATCTCTAAGTTAGTTCCTCTATCTAAGAAAACAAATAACTAATTGAGATATTCAGGTGAACTACTTGATTTGGGGAAGTAAGTAACAACTTTGAATGGAAGAAGCCTGTGTACAACTAGCATGTGATGTGATGGAGTTGATATCTTGATAAAACAAAATAATTTTATATTTTTTATGTACAACATGGGAGATTACTTACAACTAGAAAGAGAGATTTGCCTCAGCTTTTGCCTTACACAATTTGCATATTTGCTTCACACTTTATTGCAGAAGGCAACTAGCTAGAAATCCAAAGAACTAAACAGATGCCAATATAAAGAAAGAATACATTGCTTACAAACAAAAAATGAGCTTTGCCTCACACAAACAAGTCACATAATTACTTAACACTGTCTTGTAGAATGCCTTGCGCGTTCAAGCACTGACAGCGTATAGAACCTGCTTGTCCAGAAAAACAAAATCAAGACAACTAGAAATCCGAAAGAACTAACAGATGCCAAGATAAAAGAAAGAGTACATTGCTCACAACCAGAAAATGAGCTTTGTCTCACACAAACATGTCACATATTTCCTATACACTGTCTTGCAGAATGCCTTGCGTGTTCAAGCACTACCAGTACCAGCGTATAGAACCTTCCTGTCCGGAAAAACGAAATCAAGGTAACTAGAAATCCAAAAGAACTAACAGATGCCAAGACAAAGAAAGATTACATTGCTTACAACTAGAAAACGAGCCTTGCCTCACACAAACAATTCAAGTCACGTATTTCCTTCACACTGTCTTGCAGAATGTCTTGCGCGTATAAGCACTACCAGTGTATAGAACCTTCTTGCCCATAAAAACAAAATCAAGGTAACTAGAAACCCGAAAGAACTAATAGATGCCAAGATAAATAAAGATTACATTGCTTACAACCAAAAAATGAGCTTTGCCTCACACAAAAAAGTCACATATTTCCTTCACACTGTCTTGCAGAAATCCTTGCGCATTCAATCACTACCAGCTTATAGAACCTTCTTGTCCATAAAAAAAAAAATCAAGGCAACTAGAAATCCCAAAGAAGTAACAGCTGCCAAGATAAAGAAAGAGTACATTTCTTACAACCAAAAAATGAACTTTGCCTCAGCTTTTGCTTTACACAAGCAAGTCACATATTTCCTTCACACTGCCTTGCAGAATTCCGTACGCCTTCAAGCACTACCAGCATATAGAACCTTCTTGTCCGGAAAAACAAAATCAGGGCTACTAGAAATCCCAAAAAACTAACAGCTGCCAGGATAAAGAAGGATAACGTGAAGCAGTGAGTGCCGTAGCATGTATTCCCTTGGCTTGCGGCTTCTTTGTCATATATAAAGCCAATTACTCTTACAGAGAGTAAAAAAGATCCAACAGGACTAGCTATGCCAATGGTGTTGAAAATAGTACCCATGTGCAGTACACCAAATATCTCAGAAGTAATGGTGGGCATCAATGACCACTGTGAACCATAACAAACACCCACTAGTACTGAACCAACGTACAAATTCCCGAAAAAACCAGAGGCAATAACTATATGGCCAGCAGTCATAGTTGCAAGAGTGATGGCCATCAACAATGGCCTTCCCCATCCCTTTTTGTGCAGGAAAATATCCGATAAATAACCAGCTCCAAAACGACCAAGAAAATTCCATATACTCCATAAAGAAACCAGTGTATGTATCTCCACGGTTTTGTAACCGAGAGATTCTCCTATTTGACTGATGTTGTTTATTGTCGCCATTCCTGAGCCCATTCCACACACCATAGCAACAAACAACAACCAGAAGTTCGCGGTCCCCATGGCTTCAAAGAGAGTCATTTCACTTCCAAATTGCAGCATGTTATCACTGGATGTGGCCTTCTTGGGAGTAGCATCAGAAGGCACTTCATGATAATGTGTAGGAAGAACCTCTGCTGCAGAAAACTTCTTGGACTCTATTGTCTTAGGGGCATCTATTAATGGGCTCCTCTCAGTAGATAAATTTCGTGAAAGTTTCCATGAGTCCTCTCTTTGGGCTTCAATTGCAATTCTGAGAGGTGAAGCGAGAAGAAGCAGAAGCACTAAGAATGTAAGAACATGCACCAATAACGGAAATGTGAAGACATTTTCGGAGATTATTAAGGTCATGAGATATGCAGCAACAACCAGAGAAACAACTGACAGACCATTCAGATGCTTCCTATAGTGTAAACTTCTAATCTCATAGGTTCTAACCAAACACATGAACAAAAGGGAGACGAGAGTAGGCAACATTGCAAGCATAATTATGAAACTACTTGGATTGCCCTTGAATAATGCCTGATACACTTGTATTAGTACTGCTCCACTCAGACCAAGAAAGCCCTGACCAAAAAAGGCAAAAAATAACTTTCTTATTATGAACTAATGATAAATATAGGCAAGCTAGAAATGGGAAACAACCACACCCCTTGTGAAGGTAAGGTTGTATATATCTGAACTTCCATATCTTGCAAACTGCAATGGTTAGAGCCTCATGCATTACGGTTATCTCTTTTTTACTTTATATCAATCAGCAAAAGTTTCAAGAATTTCTATAAAGTGAGCATTAAGAATTTAGTTGGCATTGATTTGACGCCCCGGTAAAAACTAAGAAGTAGATATATCTTTAGATTTATCATTGATAAAATTTAAAATAAACTTCAAAGGTGGAAAGCTGTCACCCTTAAGCAGGATGAACTGTGCTCTGTTCAAACAGAATGAAAGAGGACTTTGGATTCAAAGATTTAAGGCATCTTTATTTCAAGAACTCTAAAAATTGAAACTAATATATATATATATATATATATATATATATATACCCAAAGAAATACAAAATCCTGTTTATTGAAATTATAACTTCTTTTTTAACCCAATTTTTTTTTATTATCCCAATAAACTTATTCCCTTGTCAGGTGGATTCTAACCAAAGCAATATATGCTGTTTTAATAAATTTTGAAGTGTGCCTGTGTTTATATTACATACATCAAAATTCAACACCATTGATTTTTTTTATTAAATTTATGGATTCAACCAAAGCAAACCCATTTCAAACTTTTGATCCAAACTGGAGAAAAATATTTAATAGTTCGGATAGTTATTATGTAATATAGAAAACAATAAATTCGTATTGGCGGGAGTACTATATTCCCTATATTTGGGTATACTCGTTCTCCAAAATGGCCAGCGGATAAATGAATTAATCTTTCTTAAAAGAAAAAAAAAAAATGGGAATGAAATTAAAATTCAACAAATGATCAGTGTACAGGCACATATACCTTCATGATGCCGACGATGGTGCCACCGTAATCCGGGAAGTTCCGGACAGCAGTGACGACGTTGGCGGTGCTGAAGAACGTCTGAGCGTGAGCCGCAATCAGCGTGAAGAAGCACATGATGGGCACCGGAGGCCTGTGGACGACTCCGCTCACCGAAAGCCATATAAAGAAGTAGCCCACGAAACACTGGATGGCCCCCGCCACATGGACCACCCAGGGCCCGGCGGAGACGGAGCTGCGTCGGCTGGCGGATACGGCGGTGTAGAGGACACCGGAGAGGACGCCGGCATTGGCTCCGATGTCCTTGAAGACGGAGACGGTGTTGAGGGTGGATTGGTCGTAGCCTTGGGATGATTTGAGGACGGAGGAGTAGATGCCGAAGGCGTATGATGCGCCGCAGCTGCACTGGATCCAAATGCTGGCCACAGTAGCTATCCATTTGCTGCTCTCCATCGCCATTGTTTGTCTTCTCAAAATGATTTTAGTGTTTTTGACATTGCTCATGTGTTGGTTTCAGTTCTGCATCATATGTTATGTATAATTTCTCCACGAGGAGAGAGGTTGGATCAGCATTCCAGGCTTGAATGGTATCTTCCACTATTTAATATTTCGGTATTTAACTTATTGGTTAATTTTGATGCCAGCTTTGAGATTTTATATGTATTTTTTTCAGATTTAATATTCGAAAATGTTTTTTAAAAGTAACAAAAGTATCCCAATTGGAAGACACAGGGAGTGCCAGCCATCAGCTGGTTCCCACACTAATGTCAGAAAGTTTTAATTTTTTTTTTTAATTTTTTTTTTACTTACTTAGCATGAGCTCATTAGACCCACTTTTTGCCCCTACGTTGTACTTTGGTATAAGAGAAGAAAGGTGGTTTGTGGTTTTAAACTCATGACCTCCTGGTGATAATGGTAGATTAATCTACTACAGCATTAGTATCATGCTTAGTCAGGATTATCTGAATTATATGCAGTACTGTAGCATGCACATATATTCTGCTAGGCAAATCATTCGGACTTTGTTTGTTCTTTATCTTTGGCTGACCATGTACAATTCATATACATATAAATACATGCAATTTGCTTTAAGGTTCAGAAAATAAATAAATAAATAAATAAATCTTCAGTCTGTTTTGATTATTTCTTTCGTGTGTTTCTGTCAGTTTCTACGTCTCTAAACCTTGATTCGTATGCAAGTCAAGGTCTTCTCATATGCTAACAAAATAGAATGAAGGCAAGTGCCCCAAGGAGAGGACAGAGGAGGAGTCTACAAGCTAGCTAGAAACAAAATGGTAAATACTATATAAATATAAATGTATATATATTAGGGTCACTCTTATAATATGTTTACAGTGCATATTGTATCCCTTTCATACAAAAAAACACACTTAAACTATGATATTTATGCAAATAGGTTCTATTTATAAAAATTGGACTAAAATGCCCTTAGCAACACATTTTGTAATATATATATATATATATCCTAAGACCAAAGCATGCAAAAGTGTGTAGTGTGGCCAAGTTTAAATTTAGAAAATGCCATTACCACTTTCAACTAAAAATATAGCTAGAGTGAGTAGGATCGTCTCAAGGGAAAGAATGTGTATTTGTGATGAAAATTAATTTTGAATTAGTAGGTCGAGTGATAAAAGATTGTTGGTGATTGATTAATTAAATGACAATGTAATTAAAGATTAATGCAAGTAAAAAGCGAAATCTAGAAAGTGGGGAAAAGATATAAGAGAAAGGTCTGGGGCTCAGAGTCACCACTAAGCTTCACTGCATCAAACACTAGCAATTGTACATTAATGGAAAAATTTAAATTGTAACTTGTATGCGTGTGTGTGACATCAATTGAAACTAAGTATGGATGACAAATAATTATAGATCGTCTAGCTAATTTTAATGAATAGCACAACCTATCAAATAAGACCAAAATCCATTCAATTAAACCACAATTAATGCACACACAAATATCTAGATATATGCACTATTTGCATTCACAAGTATAGAATATCAAGAAACAAGAATTGATTGTTCACATACCAAAAAAATTAAAGCAATTACACTACAACTAGGCTAGAGACATGAAATTAAACTAAAGATGTGATACAATCCATCAAGAAACAAGTGTGAACCATCAAATAAATCACAAGAGTGTTCCATTAAGCACCATGCTTTGACCATCACTAGATTAACATCATTAACACACATAGACATGCATAAATTTCATTAAATCTAGTGATAAAAACATGAACATCAATTCTAGCATACATAGACATATGACTAGAGTCAAATGATCAATTGAAAACATTAATCCATACAAATCAAGTAGAATTACAAAATCTATATTTATTCATAGTCAAAACATCCATTACAATTAAAATCCCCAAAAATACACAAAAGTTAGGTTTGAAAAGCAAGCCTAGGGGCTATCTCTAGCCCCAAGAGAAGGTTTTAGCCACTCATTGTAGTGGATATGGAACCTTCAAGGGGTAGCTTGGAGGTTGGCATCATCATCTTCATCCTTACTTTCTTCCCAAAACCTTAGTTTTAGAGAGGAAAATTATTATTATTATTATTATTTTTCTATATTTGGTAATATCTATCTATGATGGATGATACAATAATGTTCAATAAATTAATTACATACTCATTTGAGTAAGGACCAAGTCAGAATTACAGCCTCTGATTGGAGGAAATTCGCCACTGCACAAGTTAGGTAGAAATCGGCGCGCTCGAGAATTAGACAGCTCACCGCCAGCAAGCATTTCGATCGATCAAACACTTAACTTCGATCGATCGAAGCTGACGTGGCTTGAAAATATCTTCCAAGCTTTATCCAATTGGCTGAGCTGGCACCGCCTCATTTCGATCGATTGTAGACCGCTTTGATCGATCGAAGTTCCTCTAGTGCATTTTTCTTGGCTTATTTCTAACTTTGCTCCTTAGCTCTAAAACTGAGCTAAATGGCTTTTGTTAGCCTGTTTGAACTTTATTAACCTGAATAGGCAAAAACACAAATAAGTATCTAAGACATGAAAGTAAGATAGATGAATGAACTAAAATACCCTAACTCAGGTGCTAAAATGTGTCACATTTGAGCACTCATCACACCCCCAAACTTAGATATTGTTAGTCCTTAGCAATGAACTACAAGGAAAATAAAGAAATAAGCAACTAAGTAACTATGAACTAGGAAGCAATAAAATGATAGCGCCACTTTCGTAAGGAACACGATTGCATTTAACATATGCAACAAGCCTTTTAAACCCCTAGGTTACCCCTAGTGGACGAGTGAATTCTCGTGAGGGTTTCCAAAAATGATACCCACAAACATTGAGCTCTTTCTCACAAGGGAGGCACCAATATACAAAATAAGTATTGGGAGAAAACTACCTCAAGTATGCAATTTTTCAACCATTTCCAAGCAATCTCCCAAAATTTCAACACCAAGCAAGCAAGTATGTTCCTTTACACATCAAGAAAATGATCATGCAAATCAAAACAACTCTAGAATTCTTTTAAGTGGACCAGCATCAAATATGTTGCTATCTAAGCCAACTAAAGAAATGATCACATCCTTACCCTCAAACTAGCACACAAATCTAGTCCCGATTATCAAAACAAAGAGTTGACCTTTTATTAACGCTTATTTATCTAAGTGCGCTTATTCTTTTCACTCGATTTTTTTTTTACTAACCTAGAGGATCAAAGATAGAAGCATAGTGCAATGTGTTAATCTATTAAGCTTTCTAGTGATCCATGAGGTCAAGCGTCAGGTCAATGACTCCCAAACCGAACGGCTTTAGGGCATTAGGTGTTTAAACACCCCTAAGGACTTACAAGCTCAGATCAACTAGGCTACAAATCAAAACAAGTTCCATATAATCATTTCCCATTTCTCACCTTTTGGGAGAAGTCCTCATTTTTTTCTTTGCAACTTTCCTTTTTTTTTTTTTTTTTTTTTTTCAAGTTCAATTATTAACCTAGAGTTTGGGCCCTCCACCTTTCGGCGCGAGAAATTCAGTACTTGATGAGGCTAGAATCCTGGCTACTTAGTGAAAAGGGATTGTTATCCACTTTTGTCAAGATGAAAGCTTTCAATGCACTACTAGCTCAATTGGGATATAACCAATTCAATAATCAACAAAGCATGTACCCCACAAATGAATGCTGTGGTGACCCTGGTTTTTAGGCCAGCGTGTCCTGTGATGAACCGAAGATTGACCTGATAACGAATCCGATATGCGGAAGGAAAAATAGAAAATAAGACTCTAAGAAGTCAAAATGACCTTCTATGAGGTCGTGGAACTTAATGAGAACTGACGCGGAAGCAAAAGACCAAAAATATGACAAATAAGCCCCCAGGGGCAAAATAGTCATTTCTAAAAACTGTGGACTCGGTTGCCACCGAGCACACTGCTGGAAGGACAAAGAAAAACTAATCAAGATGGACTCAAGAATCGAGTCCGGATGAAGAAAATATGAAACTCCAAAGTTTCATAAAATCAAACTTTTGGGTTTGAAATCAATGCGGCAAGGGTACTTTACATGGGTTGAAATGGTCCTTTTAGACCAAACTAGATGCAACTGAGCATACCATTAGATAGACCAGGAAAAATTAATGAATCTAGACTCGAGAATTACTTGATTCGAAGTCCGGACGAAGAAGATATGAAACGTCAAAGTTTCAAAAAAACCATCTTTTGGGTTTAAAAACAGTACGGCATGGGTATTTGATAAGGGGTAAAATGGTCTTTTCAGATAGAATTGGATGCAACGGTGTATACCGTTGAATAGACAAGCAAAAGTTAATAAACTTAGACTCAAAAATCACTTGATTTGGAGTCCAGATGATGAAGACATGAAGCCTCAAAGTTTTAAAAAAATAGACTCACTTTCCAGGTCAAAAATCTGGGCATGAATAGTGTTGTAACAGCAAGCCACATTTGATTTTTTTTTTTTTTTTTCTAGAACTGAGGCTATGAACAGACCCTTAAACGAGTTTTTCTGGAAAAACACGAAGAAGAAACCCCCCTTAAAATCACGTTTTCTACCCGACATCGCCAAAGAAACCAAAAAAAAATACGATGTAAAGTCCCTAAAATGCCCTTTGAACAGCATAGGTCAAGATGGACCAAAAAAGCTGCTACATGAGTTTTTTTCAGAATCTGCCCACAACAGAGAGCAAAAAGGGGCTAGAAGATGAATTTTTCTGAAAAAACACAAAAAAAACCCCCCTCAAAAATGAGTTTTCTACGTGGCTCGTGAAGAATTAAAAAAAAAATGCAATGTAGAATACCCGAAATGCCCCTCCATGAAATCTGGTCATGGAGGTCCAAAAAGCTGCTAAAAAAAAACAGAAAGCTGAACTTTGCCATCGATTTTCGGCACCAAGATGACATTTTCTGGAAAAACACGAAAAACAAACCCTCCCTAAAATCATGTTTTCT